GAGCCAAAGGCAGACGCTTAACCAACCAAGCCACCCAAGCACCCAAAAAGGTAGAGCTCTTAAGCCAAATTCATGAATCTCTAATTGAGAAATGTTAGGCATTACTGAGCAGAATGGAGAGAGGAGATATTTGGAAATGAGGCTGGAGGTGATGGTGGGGAACAGAGACTTTCTTGTCATCCCAGAAACCATATCATATCAATTGCTTTCCCTACCTCTTCCCAAACCCTTGTCAGAAAACAGCAGAGGAAAAGGATTAGAAAGGGTAATTAACAACTGCCTTCTGTTACACAAAACACAGAGGAAGTGATGGATTCTATTCTTCCTGAACAATAGTGATGACTTCCCACCACAGAACATGACTGAGTGCCAGTTACTGAATGATTTAGTGATGTCTTCTATACTTTCTCTCACCCTGTAGAGTTTATAGTCTGATGTCCAAGGAAGATGTCACTGGTTTAAAATGGTTCCTATGGATACCAAAGAATCTTTATGAGGGAGCTGTCACTCCCTCCTTCCCCCCCCCCTTTTCTTTTAACAGAGATGGTGGTGTGAATATAGCAAGGGACATTTTTAAAGGGAGTAGAGATATGGGAGGAGGTTACAAAGGAGATGGAGCCGAGAATCTAGAAAGGATGCCAACCTGTGAATGAGACAAAAGGTAGAAAGTTGAGACGGTGTAGAAGATATATCAAACATAGAGTCCAGTCTTATTGGCCCCTCAGATACTGGTTTTCAGTGAAATCTTGCCCCAGACCACTTCAGAAGACCACAGTCAAAGAATCTGTCTCTCCAGTCACTCAAGTATATACAAGAGGTCACAGTTCTACTTACTCCATACAAGAGTGTATCTCCCAAACTTTTGTCTTTCTTTCTTTTTTTTTTTTTTAAAGATTTTATTTATTTTACAGAGAGAGATATAGCGAGAGAGGGAACACAAGCAGGGGGAGTGAGAGAGGGAGAAGCAGGCTTCCTGCTGAGCAGGGAGCCCGATGTGGGGCTCGATCCCAGGACCCTGGGATCATGACCTGAGCTGAAGGCAGATGCTTAACAACTGAGCCACCCAGGCGCCCCAAACTTTTGTCTTTCAACCACCCACCAACCAAATCAAACCTACTAAATCCTGCTGACTTAAACTCTTGGTTGTGTATCAGATGATCTTAGGAAATCACTTTTGTGGCAAAAAGGGCAGGACACTAAAAAGGAAAAGAATTTGTAGGCAGTTCAAGTATTCTGACCTTAAAATTAAAGAAATTTATTTTTCTAGGAAAGACAGGCTTTTCCTCTGCAATAAGCCTTGGTGATTTCAAAAAAAAATTTTGTGTTCTATTACTGCCCAGATTATCATTTCAGTTTAAGAGCCCACAGAATTATAAAGTCTGGCTAACCAATCCCACTGCATTAAAAAAAAATTTTTTTCCTCAAATAGGCATTGAGCCAAACATATTTCTACAACTTCCTTTGTGGTACCCTGTTTTAGAGCTTTAAATAATCTTGTTAGAATTTTTTTCTTTTTTCAGATTTCTAAGCTAAAAGTCCTTTGCAAAACTATTTTCATCAACTGAATTATTAAAATAATTAAAAATGGCATTTAAAAAGTTATAAAGGGGTCTTTTAATTCAGAACTTAAGAACTTTTTGCTACTTAACAATTAATGAAATTGTTATAGCGTTCTGGTCGTTGAAAGAACCTCTTAAGATGTTTGAAATATTAATATCATAATACCGCCCAGGCCTTGTCACCACCAAAAGTGAAATAAAAACATGAAATAGATTGGGGTCCCTGGCTGGCTCAGTCTGTAGAGCATCTGACTCTTGATCTGAGGGTCGTGAGTTCAAGCCCAATGTTGGGTGGTGGAGCCTACTTAAAACACACATACACACAAAGGAGCACCTAAGTTCAGTTGGTTGAGTCCCTGCCTTTGGCTCAGGTCATGATCCCGGGGTCCTGGGATCAAGCCCTGCATTGGGCTCCCTGCTCAGCGGGGAGCCTGCTCCTCCCTCTCCTTCTGCCCCTCCCCCTGCTTGTGCTCTCTCGCTCACTCACTCTCTCAAATAAATAAATAAAATTTTTAAAACACACACACACACATGAAATAGACATAAGTTAAGTGGTTTTGCCTTGAAACAGAATCAGTAAGTGACCACATCTGAAAATAATCTCAAGATACTTACTTCTGCATGATTCCTTATGTGAAAACCCTGTACCTCAACACTTTAATAATCAGAATATTAAATCAGGATTTATTTGGAATTAAAATAGTGTGTACAAAGAGAGACGTTCAGAAAACATTTTGGGGGGCACCTGGATGGCTCAGTCTTTAAGTGTCTGCCTTCGGCCCAGGTCATGATCCCAGGATCCTGGGATCCAGCCCCACCATCGGGCTTCCTGCTCCTTGGGAAGCCTGCTTCTCCCTCTCCCACTCCCCCTGCTTGTGTTCCCTCTCTCGCTGTGTTTCTCTCTGTCAAATAAATAAATAAAATCTTAAAAAAAAAGAAAAAACATTTTTGTTTTTCTTGGTTTATTATAGATTTATTAAAGTGGTAATGCATATGTGTTCAAAATTCAAAAGTTACAAAATATTCCCAGCCATCCACTTCACCTCCCTGAAGGTACCATGCTACCAGTTTCTTTTATTTCCAAGATATAATTATGCATTTATGAGTAAATATGTGTATTCTCTTCCCTGCTTTTTTCACAAATTATAGTATTCTATACACCTTGCACTTTCTACACCTTGCACTTTTCCTCCTTAATATCTTTGAGATTTTTCTATATTACTCCAAAAAGTGTTTCCTCATTCTTTATTCCTGCCCAGTATTTCATTGTATTTTTATAATAAAGGACACTTAGGTAATTTCCAATCTTTGGCACAAACAATACTACAGTAACTACAAAAACATATGTATTTCACACAGGGTCAAGTATGTCTTTAGAAGAAAATCCTAAAAGTTGAATTGCCAGGTTGAAGGATATGTCATTTGTCGTTTCAAATTAAAATATTGCCAAATGACTTCCACGGAGGTAGTAACAGTTACCTCCCAGTGATGTAAGAGCTTGCTTTTCTCCCTACACCCTTGCCAGCACAATATGATATTCACTCTACAAATATTTATTGGATTCTTGCTATGGGTTCAGGCATTGTTCTAGGTGATTAGGACACATCAATGAATAAAATAAGCCAAAATCCCTGCCCTAGTGGAGTTTATATTCTAGCAGAGGAGAAAAACAATATAATGTATAATAATAAATAGTATAAATAAACATAAAATCATATAGTATGTTAGAAGCTGGAATATGTTCTGGAAAAATGATCAGGGTCTAAGGAATCAAGAGTGTGGTGGCTCTAGGTTTCATTGGGGTGATATCTGAGCAGACTTGAAGGAAGTGAGGGAGTTAACTCTGCAGACCTGGGGAAAAATTATTATTGGAAAAGAGAATAGGCATTACAAAAGTCATAAGGCACTAGGGTTGCCTAGGGTATTCCAGGAAGCACAAGGCCAGGATGACTAGGGAGGGATGAAAAAGCAAAGGAAGGCAGAGGGAAATGAAGTTATATAAGGGACCAGATCCAAATTCCCTGTGACTTATAGGCCATAACTCTGAAATGGGGAGTCACTAAAGCATTTTTAAACTTTTGGATTTTTGACAACTGGATAGGTTAAAAAAATGTTTTTTTCAGTGGTTTAAGTTTGCATTTTTTTTTCTTATTAGAAAGGGTGAGCACCTTTTCCTGTCTTAAATGCTATGTTATTTCCTTTTCTAAGTATTCAAATCCTTTCCTCATTCTGAAGATGTTTGTTAGTCTTTTTCATGTTGATTCATAGGAACTTTTATATATTGAGGAAATTAGCCTTTGCTTTGTTACTTTAGTCACAAATTCAGTTAGCATCTGAAATGGTCTAACTACATGGATTTTTGCTTTTGCCTGTTGCATTTCAAACTTCAGGGCCATAGCAATAATAGTGTGATTGTATATGGAAATTAACTCATGATTCTCTATTCCTGCATCTTATTTATTTTTTGAAATCAAATAGAGAAAAGTCATTTCTGAAATGACAAAATGCCTAGAAGTTCTTGGGTGCAATTTTTAATTAACAGCTAATCAATAAAAACAGGTAATAAAAAATATCTTAAGTATCATAGCATACATACATGACACTCTGTTTCCTTTATTTTATAGCATACATTTATTTATTAGGGTGATCTTTGGAGTAAGTACAAAGTTCAAAAGATACCAAAGATACACAGTAAAAGGTAAATTTCCTTGTTCCTATCTCACCACTATTGAATTCCTCTTCCTTTAAGTAACTAAGTTTCCAGTATCTTATGTATCCTTCCAGAGATATTGTATATGGATGCATGTGTATATATAATCTTTAGTCTGTTTGCTCTAAATGGACGCATTCCTAATCTCAATTATTCAATATAAATTCATGCATTTAAGAATCAGCTATACTGGGGCACCTGGGTGGCTCAGTCAGTTAAGCACCTTTGGCTCAGGTCATGATCCCCGAGTCCCAGGGATTGAGCCCCACAGCAGGCTCCCCGCTCACCAGGGAGTGGGCTTTTCCCTCTGACCCTCCCCCCTCTTGTACTCTCTCTCTCTCAAATAAATAAATAAAATCTTTTAAAAAAAAAGAATCAGCTACACTGACGAGGATAACATGTTTTAAGATGTGGAAATAAAGATTAGAGTCGGTTGATTCTGGTGCAGTAGGAAAACAGTGAAGAAATAGTAATTTATAATTGTTATTTGTATGGAAGTGTCACATAAATTTTTCCCTCATATTAGTTGTGTAATTTAGACATTATTGTTACTGCCATTTTACAGATGAGGAAACAGGCTCAGAAAGGTTAAAGAACTTGCCAGAGGGCATAAAATTAGCTAGGACTTAAACTCATGTCTCTTGATTCTAATTCTCTACTTTCTTTACTAGTTCCGTAAGGAACAGCCTTAGCTATTTCAAAGAAGGAAAATATCAGTCTTTCTAAACTGAATGAGGAAATTGAAATGAGGAAAAAAGCAACAGAAATAATCTCACCAAGACTGTTTGCTATTGCTGTCTTTGAGTGTTACATACATCTTTCTTATACAGGTTTGACTTTTCCACCAGAATCTTCTGCTTAGGGCTAGTATCTGGGGTGGTTTTTAGCTAACAATGTTCAGTTTTCCATCCTTCCTGGGATTAAGGGGGAGCAGAGACTTTTTTTTCCAGAGGTGGATGACAACTTTATTTAAGAATGTCATTCATAGGGGCGCCTGGGTGGCTCAGTTGTTAAGCGTCTGCCTTCGGCTCAGGTCATGATCCCAGGGTCCTGGGATTGAGCCCTGCATCGGGCTCTCTGCTCCGCGGGAAGCCTGCTTCTCCCTCTCCCACTCCCGCTGCTTGTGTTCCCTCTCTTGCTGTATCTCTCTCTGTCAAATAAATTAAAAAAATCTTAAAAAAAAAAAAAAAGAATGTCATTCATAGACCATTTTCTTTTCTTTTTTTTTAATTTAAATTTTGTTAGTTAACATATAGTGCAATATTGGTTTGTGGAGTAGAATTCAGTGATCCATCACTTACATACAACACCCAGTGTTCATCACAACAAGTGTCCTCTTTAATACTCATCACCTGTCTAGCCCATCTCCCACCCACCTCCTTCCATCAACCCTCAGTTTGTTCTCTATTGTTAAGAGTCACTTATGGCTTGTCTCCCTCTCTCCTTTTTAAAAGCGGGAGCAGGATTAATCCAGGTATGTATGGATTCAGGAAACAAAAATGATCATAAGTTTTGGTCCTAGGTAGAATTATGTCTGTGTCAGTACAATCTGTTAAAGGAAAACTTAAAAGAAAATGCTATCCTGAAATATCTTCCTGTGACCAAATTGAGTGCCGTAGGTATAGATTTTTATGAATAAAGTCCTTAGAATTACATTTTTAAGTTAAAATGGGCTTTTCAGGGCCTGATTTCCCCAAAGTGTAAAGGAAGAGGAGCAAAAATCACTTAATTGTCCTTGTGAGTAGGACTGGCATTACTTTCCTGGTAGGGACCCCGCTCAAGGACCACCACTTTAGTGTTTCTTTTGAGGACCAAGAACAGTAAGAATGATGAGGTCAGGTCTAGCCCCTCCCCCACAACTATCAACTGCTTTTTTTGACAGTTAGAAGGTTAGATGAGTGGTTTTTCATTAGAGGAACCTGTGCACACCAAGTACCTGCTTAGGCATAGCAAAGATGAGGGATTAAAAAAAAAAAATGTTTTTGAAAGAATTTCAAAATGAAATAGCCATGCTGGGAAAAGCAACCAGAACTTTGTTGCACTTTCTTACACTTACTCTGTGGTTTAGAATTGTTTATATTTTAAATTACATTTGGGAGGGTGTGCACTATAATCTTTTTATTTTTGGAGCCTCTAAAGGCCTTAATCAGGCTCCGGACGCATGCTCTGGGAAACTCTGAAATATTACACCACAACAGGGAGGCTAATTAAAGAGCCTATCACACAATGGAATGAAAATAGAAACAACCTTTAGGATGTAGCTGGATCAGAAAGGAAAGGCAGAGTAAATGTTTCACTACCCATACTTTTCTATTCGAAATTCAGTTTAGTGTTAAATGGGCATACCACTGGATAATAAGAAAAAATAAAAACCAACATGAACCCTGATAAAAAAGTAGGGATAGCATATTGATGAAAGAAAAAAAAAGCATGCAGGGGAAGCTGGATCTGACAGACGTGTCCTTGATGCTGAGCTGCCTAAATCTGATTCAGTTGTAATAGTGTGAACCCCTGAAGGTTTCTGAGAAAGAAAGTGACATGATATAAATGCTGTTTGAGGAAAAACTAGTCTAGTAACTAAATATAAGATGGATTGGAAGAGAAAACATAAAATGTTGAAAGATAACTAGAAACCTGGTGGAGGAGGAATCCACAAGATTTAGTGACTAGCTGTAGAGGATGAAGGAGCTGAGGAGTCAGTGATTAAGAGGAAACCATGGGCTGGTTTGGGGGCGGGTGGTAGGGGGAGGTTGGTGACTATGGCAGTATTATTTATTGAAAACCAAAGACATAGTTTAGTTACACTCCAAAAGGGGGGGGGGGTAATACTGCTTAAATAATGCTTTATTTCATAAGGGAAATAAGGGAACATAAGAGTATTTTCCTTTTATCTTGGCCTCAATGCCAAGCCTGTACTTCCTAATACTTCAATTCAGGAGACTCTGAGAATTACAACATGGCAAAAGGAAAAGTCATAAAAGTAAGTCACTGATTTGATGTAAAAGGTTGCAGATCAGGTGAATCACAAGATAGGAAATGAAAGTAGAAGGCCTTACACAGACAGGATATGACTTACTGAAAATCCAAAGTTAGAGCCTAGATCCAGTCCTGAAGAGAAGGAAAATGTATAATGTTTCTCAGTTTTTGTTTGCTGGATGACATTTGAGAGGGGCTTCTTTTGTTCTTGGATCATTTTTAAGCCAGCAGTACCCCTCAGTTCAAGTCTGGGTGATCTGAAAATGACAGCATAGGAAGAATCAGTATCTTGCACATAGCAGGCATTCAGTAAACATTTGTGGAATGAAGAAATGAAGGATTTTCAGGACTCAGTACGCATGAAGTGTGAAAAGAATCAGGAGAATCAAATCCAGTAGCAAAGAAGAAATGGGCTAGAGTCCATATACTGCAACTCACTGAAAGCCAAACCACTATAGAAATAAAAAATGGGGCAGTGAGTCTCTGGTTTGGTTTGGTTTATAATTCCTGAGAGCTCTTTCCTTTTATCTTGGTTTCGTTTCAAGGTCAGAATCACCCTCTGCAGTTCACTATCTGGATAAAAAAAAGAAATTGGTTAGTTATGGCAGAGGCAAAAAATTTGAGGCTTCTCAACTCTTGTGATCTTGTCCAGTTCCAGCTATGAAAGCCAGAATCTCATGGGGCAGACTTAGTTTTACTCTATTTCTCCCCAAAAATTCCGACCATAACGTTTGCATTTGACAGACCAGGTGATATTTCTTTTTTTTTTTCCAAGTGATATTTCTCAACGGTTGTTCTAAATCTTTACCACTCTCAACTCCCTACTGCATGTTACTCTATTTTGCACTCAGCAGAGCACCTAGCAGTTCTGTTTAATCTAGATGTAAGGTGATGATAACCTTCCAGACAGGAGCTACCAAGAGGAAGGCCAGGCTCTGGATTCCTGGCTTGGCCACCTTTTCCAGGGCCTGGCTAAATCAATAATCTCTTTATCTTCAGTCTCTCTCCACCTGCTCCTGTCCCTGATTATTCACATACCTGTGTTTCCCCTATGCTAGAAAATTCCTTTTTCCTCTCCACCACCAAACTTCTTAGAAGCTTTTACTTCTTACTTCCAACTTTCTGACCTTCCTCCCATTAACGCCTCAGCCACAGTAATCTGGCTTTCGTTCCCACCATGCTACAGAAAACTGCTCTGGCAAATGTCACTAACAACATATGAATGATAATATATGAGGTCTTGTTTGAATTTTATTTGAATTCTCTGCAGTGTTGGGCTCCATGGAGTACTTCTTTCCCAGACTCTGAGATACCACTCCTTTATTTTTATACCTGTGTGGACAGTTTAACTCATTCATTCCTCAAATTCTGCCCATCTCTGAAATGTAGGTGTTTCTAAAGGTTCTCCCCTTGAGTCTCTTCTTATGCCAACACACTCCCTACCTGCTCCCTTAGCCTCAGGTATTGCCTGAATATTCCCAAATCCTCATGTCCAGATTGTCCCTACTCCTCTCAAATAAGCACAGGTTAATTAGAAAACAAATGAGCCAATACAAGAGGGATTTCACCCATGTTATCTCCACTAATCCTGACCTTTCTTTGCTGACAGGGAAAAAAGGAGGAAGGATGATAAACCCTGTTACAGACCCCTTGGCATGGGAGATAGACCTCCCCTCAACTACCCATACCAATCCTCTAATAAAAACTAATGGGAGGAGAGTCTCTGTGCAGACACTATGTGCCAACATCTCCCCAGAAAATAATGAGATGGTCCTAAAGTCAACTGCAGTAGTAGCTTCTAGAAGGAAGAAGAGTTGGAAGTGCCACATGGGTGTTTCAGTTTGATTTTGAATTTGGAGGGTGAGAGGAGTTTGAGTCTTTACTCATTTGAGACCCAGCTTGCACCTGGTTCCCCAAGTCCCACCCCTCTCCAAGTGTGGACAATGTAGAAGACTGGGAAATTGCCAGGAGAGAGGAGAGAGGGGCTACCTTCCAGGATCCAACAGACTCCTCTTAAACTTCCTGCAGGCATCCCAAACACAACGCTCTGGAACTGATCTCATCCTTCTGCTTCTACTCCCATTCTAGTTAACAGCATCACCTTTCACCCTCTTGACCTAGATGAAAACTTCTGTTGTTGGGGACTCTTCCCTCTCTAGCAGTGCCCCATTCAGTTCTAAGAGACCCCCCTCCAGACTGGCTCCTTTCAATGCTGGAGCAGCCCCTACCATCTCTATACCTCTAGTCTCTACCTCATCCAATCTATGTGTCCCACTGTAGCCAGAGGGACCGTCCCAGAACATTATTGCTCATTCATCATTTCCTTTCATTAAAACCCCCACTGATAATGTCTAGGCTTTTAGTGAAGTATAGGAGGTCCTTTGCAACCTACCTTGACCTGTCTTCATTTTCATCTCTGGTGACTCCTTCCCTCATCCAAGCATCAGTGGGCTCTTTGTAACTTTTCAAACATACTTTGTTAAGTACTGAGTGCCAACTATGAGCCAGGCACTAATCTAAACTTCTAATACAGTGAACAGGAAAAAAGGTCCCTGCTCTCTTGCAACTCTCATTTTAGTAGGAAGAGCCAGTGAATAAACAAGATAATTTCAGATAGTGATATGGGGTTATGAAGACAATGAAATAGGGTGTTGTGGGGGGTGGGTCAGCTACTTTAGTGCTCAGGAAGGGCCTGAGAAGGTAACATTTATTTGAACTTAATGACAAGGAGAAGCCAGATAAGCAAAGACCTGGTTGGTATAGAGTATTTGGGTCCGTTTGATCAGCATGTGAGAAAGGCCTTGAGGCAAGAACTAGCTTGGCAGCTTGGCATTTTCAAGGTTCCAAAACAAAGCAGTGAAGCTGCACCTTATTATATACACTTGGGTGGGGGCAAGGAGGTGAGGCCAGATCACAGAGGCCCTGTGGGCCATCAAAAGGAGTTTGGATACTATTTTAAGGGCAAGAGGAATCTACTGAAAGATTTTGAATGAAGGGGTGACGTGCTCTGGATCACTCTGGCTCTTCCTGGAGAAGGGGTTTCGGTGGAGCAGGGTAGGTTTGGAGACCAGTTCCATGCCTTCAAGCTTATGCTCAGGCCATTCCCAAGCCTGGAATGACGGTCTTTCCCAGGATGGTTCCCAGGCTCCTGGGAGCCGATTACTGCAGAGCTTTCAGCCCAGGTCAAGCCTGGTTTGCCTCACCAACCCTACAATCATTCCACAGACCACCCACTGGGCGCAGGGGACAGAGTCCTGAGGCCTCCCGCTGTCTCAGAAACACTTTTTTCTGTTCCTGCCTGCGTCTCCTAACTCAAGGGGCAAGTCTCAGTCAGACTGTTTGGCGGGGCAGTGACAAACGCAGTCCCGTGGGTTAGTGGTACAAAGGAGGCTTCTCCCTAAGATGACCGAGGACACCTCGCAGTAGGCAGCCGGGCCCAAACCAAAGACCTGGCGAGACCAGGGTGGCGCCGCGGGCGTCAAGGCAGGATATGGACTACAATTCCCAGCAGACTCTGCGCGCGGCTGCCGATCCTTCCGCACCAACTTACTCCGCTGGCTGTGCCCACCGCTGCCCGCCAAGGACCAAGCCCAGGTTTTTTTCTGGAACCGAGGTCCACTTTCTAATCACAGTTCCAGAGAGAGATCACTGAGTGCCCTGGAGGAGAAACGGACTTTTTTGAGGAGAACCGCGGATGCAGACCATCGGAGAGACGTCGTTCTGAAGCCACCGACTTTCGCGCGCTTTGGCGCGGGTGGTTGTGGGTAGCGCGCCCAGGAGGGAGAAAGGAGCCTGGGGGCTGTGACCGCGGCCTGAGGGGATGTTCGAGGACGAGCCCCACGCTGAGGGGGCAGCGGTGGTCGCCGCGGCCGGGGAGGCGCTGCAGGCCCTGTGCCAGGAGCTGAACCTGGACGAGGGGAGCGCGGCCGAAGCCCTGGACGACTTCACCGCCATCCGGGGCAACTACAGCCTAGAGGTGAGCGGCGGCAGGTGGGGCGGCCGGACCGACCCCCGCCAGGCCCCACCCCCGCCCCGCCCCTACCCCACCCTGTGGGGCGGTGGGAGTTTCCCCACCGGGAAGGGTCGCTGCCCCGCCGGGCGCCGCCGAGTGCGGAGCTGGAAGGGCGGGTGTAGACCCGTCTTCCCATTTTCTTTCTGAGGCGGGAAACCGAAGTCCGGAAGAGGAGCGGCTTGTCCGCGGTCGCACGCCCCTCGGGGGTCCCGTAGACTCCAGACCCGCTTCCCGCCGAGCGCCGCAGACATCACGATAGCGCCCGTAAATCTGTTAAAAAACCAAATGCCGGAATGGTAAAGGCTGAAGTGAATTGTAGTGCCGACACCACCGCCCAGCCCTTTAAGTATGTCATCTCACTCCGTTCTCGCCACAACCCTGGGACCCCGAGCTGTGATCGCCGTTCCACGGGAGCGCCTACGCTACGTGCCCAGGGGCGCGCGGTTAGTGGTGGAGCGGGGCCGAGGAGTCCGGGCCTTCGAACCGCTCCACCCTGCGGCGTCACCCGGGCGGGCGGAGGTGTGGGCTGCTCGCTTTGATGAAAGCCGCCATGGCAAGTGGGGCTCAGCCCCAGCCTCCTCCGTCTCAGCATCTTGATTCTTAGCGCAGCGCCTGGCTCTGAATAAAACAAGCGTAGGCCGTCATTGCTGGATTTTTTCCCCAACCATTCTCGCGTGGAGTCCTCCCAGCAGCCCTGTGAACGTGGCAGGGCAGTATGATACCTGCTTTCCGGGTAGTAATGTCAAGGCCCAGAGGACTGTGCTGCCCAGGGTCATTCTGCTAATTACAGGAATCCAGTGTAGAGGTAGCATTGCGATGGGATTATTTCCGCATACTACTCCAGTAGCCTTAAATTCAGAGGCTTTCCTGCATGATCCAAGGGGCCTGGACTCACTGACTCACCACCCTGTGAAATAATTAATTGCTGGGTTCAGAGTCATGTAGTTAGGTATTTGGAGTTGAGTGTTGAGGGGGAAAATACCTAAGAGACGCTCTTATTTTTTTTTTAATAAAGATTTTATTTATTCATTTGAGACACAGAGATAGCATGAGCAGGGGGAGAGGCAGAGGGAGAAGCAGGCTCCCCGCTCAGCCAGAAGCCTGATGCGGGGCTCGATCCCAGGACCCTGGGATCATGACGGGAGCTGAAGGCAGACGCTTAACCATCTGAGCCACCCAGGTGCCCCTAAGAGACGCTCTTATATGTCTCTGGGGTAGGACTGGGTAGACTGGATAAAGGGCAGCGACCTGCACCCATGGGTGGCATGACTGGGCTGAACGAAGAATAGGAAAGTGAGGGAGATTATGAATTATGGCCACTCAATGAAAACAAACTAATTTTTAAAAGCCTGAGAAGGCGTTTCTGACTTCCCAAGTCCTCTTTTGATCTGTCATTGAATAAACATTTACTGAGTGCAAAGTGTAGTCAAGGCATTAAACTAGGCACCTCTTTCAAAAAAATTTTAAAGATTTATCTGTTTAGAGAGAAAAAAAGCACGCAGGGGGGAGGGGCAGAGAGAAAGTCTCAAGCTGACGGTGCTGTTAGCCAGGTACAGGACTTGATCCCAGGACCCTGAGATCATGACCTGAGGGGAAACCAGGAGTCAGATGCTCAACCAACTGCCCCACCCAGGCACGCATCAAATTCTTGAATATACCAAGTTTCTAACCACTTGCATGTTTTCTCCATGACATTCCCTCTGCCTGGAAACTTTTCCCTCACTCCCTACAACAGGCAGATTGAAGAACTAAGTCTCAAGAACTAAGTCAACTAGGTGGAGTTGATCAGGACATCTTAAATGTTTGATTTAGAAAGCACAGATGTGTGAATTAAGATTTGGTGACTGTTTATTCTGTCCCAAGTCTTTTATTTTCCTCCTCTTTTTTTTTTTCCCCCTTCGGTTTGTTTTGGTGAAAGGCTCTTGGAGTAGGTATTTTCATATATCTACTCTTAAGCCTTCTCCCCAGCTCCTACCCCTCTCAGTATACCAGACAAGCTTCCACTTACATTTCCCCCTTGCCTTTCCCTCTCCCCTTACATTTTGGTGATTCGCCATTTAACCAATTTTAAGTCTCCCTCTGTGAATCCTCCGACCTCTATTCAAAATCGGTTACTCGACTATATTCTCTCACACTTTATCTTCAATTCTTAAAGCATATATCTCAACAATTAAAGATAACCATTATTTGTTCCTTTTCTTCACTCTAGATTTGGAATTACTTGAGGTCAGAAACCATCTTTGTACTTCTAAGGTCTAGCATCAAAGAATTTAAATAATATAGTTGACTTTTGGGGGCGGGGGGAAGGCAAAAATACCAGTACTTAAATTTTCTCTATCTTAATGGTGTTTTCATCTAGTAACCTGTATCCAATAGCTCTCTAATACTTGGATGCTATTCCCCAAAATTTGTTAATCAAAGCTTCTAAAAATACTCAACCACAAGCTTACATGCCTCATTTAATACCTTGAGCAAATAAGACTTCTCGCTACATTAGGGTAGCAACACTGGGTTTTAATTCTATTGGTGGTCACCCATTTCTGTCCTTCCCTTTTGGATTATTACAAGAAATCTTTCAGTGTTTTTATTCTTTTAGAGACTGGTCTTAAAGAGGCTCTGCAGAACTGTGCTATAAGATTTGTGTCTAATTCTGAATCCTTAAATTACATAAGTAGTTCAGTGGTAAAATCATGAAGTGATTCTAGCTTGACGATATCTGAAGTCTAAAGCAGACAAGTGTTGAATTTACCAAATGTTACCTTTTTATACCATTGTAAATTGAGATATCTGCTGAAATAGAGAGGCTTACTTACTATTTTAAAGATTGGATAAATCCCCAAATTTTTACCTCACAAAGATGGTGGTCTTCTTTATGTTGTACAAGATAGATATGAACTTTTTATGTGTGATCCCTTGCCAACTTTCTACTCTCTTTGCTTTCTCTGTCAAACTGGTTAAAAAAGAAACATAAAACTGAAATGGTGGAAAGGAACTTAAGCATCATCAAGGCCATGACTGGTGTTTTCAAATCAAGAAAGCTAATGCTGAGAAATTTTAAGAGCTCTTTCAATAATACTGGATTTGGGCTGTAGGTGAGAGATCTATTTTTAGATTAATGCTGATTTAGCATCTTACACAGGACTGAGAATAAGAGTTTTATACTCATTACTGCAAAACTAAGCTTTGTGACCTTGGCAAATATCTTCACCGCTCTGGCCTGTTACGTACATAATGAAAGTAAGACCATATAGTTCTAAGATCTTTTCCGGTTCTAGAACTTAAACATTTTAACATAATATATTCATTTTGCTCTTTGTCTTTTGCCTGCCAGGGAGAAGTTATACACTGGTTGGCATGTTCATTATATGTAGCATGCCGCAAAAGTATTATTCCCACTGTTGGGAAGGGTATCATGGAAGGAAATTGTGTTTCACTTACCAGAATACTGCGTTCAGCTAAACTAAGGTAAAGCACTTTGATTTTTCAAACACTCTTTTATACATACTAAATTTACTTTTAGAATTTAATTTCTGTGTAACTCTATTCCATTTTAAGTTTGTTGTCCTATAGGTATCCCTTTCCAATTCTCATATTCTTCCATTGCCTTTCTTCCTCAAATTCTGACTTCAGCCAGAGGCCTCTATACTAATCTTTTTAATCTATAATTTTTTCATTATTTTTTTAAAATTTGGAAATAATTTCAAGCTTTTAGAAAAGTTGCAAAAATAAGGAAAGCACAAAGAACACCCATATACCCTTGACCCAAATTCACCTATTATTAACACTTTATTCCATTTGCTTTGTCATTTGATCTTTCTCAAATAATATTTTTTTCCTCAACCATTTTGAAGTAAGTAGCATGCATTATAGCCCTTTACCCCTAAATACTTCATTGTATATTTAGGTAACTACCACAGTTATCAACTTCAGCAAAGTTAACATTGATACAATAATCTATCATCTCTATTCTAGTTTTATTAGTTGATCCAATAATGGTCTTTATAGCAATTTTTTAAAAGAATATTCCAATCTAGGATTAGGGACTATCTTCACTTATCATATCTGTTTAGTTTCCTTTAATTAGGAATATTTCCACAGCAAGAATATAGTCCACAAACACCCCCAACCCCCTTTTTAATAGATTAGTCCTCATTTTGGATTTGTCTCGTGTTTTCTTATGATTAGAGGCAGGTTATACATCCCCAGATAGAAAACTACATAAATAATTTTGTGTCCTCACTATATCACATCTGGAGGCATGATATCCATGTGCTTTGCTTGTGTTAATTTTGAGTATCTGCTCAACGTGTTGTCCTGTTTTTCTGCTGTATAGTTAATATTTTTTACCGTGCAACAAATAAGCAATCAGTGGGTCTTAGTTATAGCTTTTACTTGCTCTAATATTAAGCATATGGAACTATTTGCCTGGATACAAAACAAATGGAGTGATCCAGATTTGGATAGGTGGTAATGTAATCTGTTTCTGGGTTTTTCACCCATGACAGAACTATTTGAGGTGGTTGTCTATTTGCTGTCCTGGGTTTTCAACATAGAAGACAAACTTTAAAAGACCTATCGAGGGAGATCAATTAAGTTTCAGTTCATGCTAAATTTAAAAAAAAAAGTCTCTCAGAACAATTTTAGTTTGCATAAGTGGAAAAATAATACATTCAAGACAATGTTTAAAACTTTAATAAATAGGGCGCCTGGGTGGCTCAGTTGGTTAAGCGACTGCTTTCAGCTCAGGTCATGATCCTGGAGTCCTGGGATCGAGTCCCGCATCGGGCTCCCTGCTCAGCAGGGAGTCTGCTTCTCCCTCTGACCCTCCCCCCTCTCATGCTCTGTCTCATTCTCTCTCTCAAATAAATAAATAAAATCTTTAAAAAAAAAAAAACTTTAATAAATACCAGTTTTTGTCATTGATGATAAAAATAAAATGAAAGTGTAATTAAGATTGATGGAGTTCAGGTAATTTTTTTAATTGAGCAAAACCTCCCTCTTCATTGTAGTATAAAATAATCTGACTTTTTTCTATCAGTGTTTCTCATCATTGACCATATAAAATTTTAAAATCTTTATAATATTAGGTTGTTGGGGAAACCGAACAAAAAAAGAATAACTTAAAATTTGGAGGAGTATAAGCACATGATAAAAATTTCAGATAATGAAACATTCTGGAAATGGATGGTGGTTATGATTGCACAATGGGAATGTACTTAATACCACTTAATTTACACTTAAAAATGGTTAAAATAGTAAATTTTATGTTATATATACTTTTACCATAATTTTTAAAAAGGTTCACAAACTTTCAAATAATACAGAATGTTTGAGAGTATAAAGATGTCCCTTTCTTTTCACTCCCCAGAATTAACCACTTAAACAGTTTACTCTCAATGTATATATATATATTTTTTTTAAGTAGGCTCCACACCCAATGTAGGGCTTGAACTCACGACCCTGAGATCAAGAGTCACAGGCTCCACCGACTAAGCCAGCCAGGCACCCCAGTAAATTGTTAAGCAGAAAAAAAATCTGTTTTTCAGTATTTTAGTTGTTTTTTTAAAACATAAGTGAGGGGCACCTGGGTGGCTCAGTCGTTAAGCGTCTGCCTT